AATATTTGTATCTTCGCCTGATTGGTTGTAAAAACGATGTTATCGCCGTACTCACTCTTCAGATGCTGTAACTTACAAATCTGCTATTGTTTCCGTTGTCTTCTTGTTGATGATATCGAGTAATTGACTGACAGTAAATTAGCAGTCACTACTGTCTTCAATGAATTTTTAAACTGAATTCAAAGACTCTCGTACTTCTTTTTGTAGTTCGGTATCTTCCATTTTATTCTCGAGCATGAAATTCACGTAACAAATTTTGTGATAATGCGCACCAACCGTAACTAAAGACCTGTAGGATCATTCCTACGCTCAGAAACTTCGATTAATGTTGCTTTCAAATCGTCTGATTGAACCAAATATTTTTCATCACGTCTTTTTTCCTTGCCATGGTTTGTCACAGAAGAGACGCAGTTGTGTGAAACTAAAACTCGTAGAACCACGTGACGAAGAAGAGATGTTGAAGGTTCAGGCACAGTAAGAATACGTTTGGCAGAATAATAATAATCATCCCGACACTCTCGATGAATTTTAATTAATAAACAATAAATACTTAAAGCATTATTGTCATATCTGCAATAGTTGGAATTATTATAATTTTAAAAACAAAAGAACGAATGAAAAAGACAAGTTTCAAGTTTGAAAATAAAAATTTTCAAAAAAACATACATAGCTACTTTTACTACATAATTAAGTATCGAAAAAATTTAAAAAAATGTATTTATAACNTTTAGTGCCTTCGAACTAATAGACCTAAAACAGCTGAAAATAGTAATATCGGAAATTGATGCTAATAAAGGTTCACCTATTGATGAAATGTATAGTAAAATTATAAAAAACAGTTTTCAGGTAATTGGTCATGTATGGTGTTATTTTATAAATACATCATTAGAAAAAGGTATGGTTCCTACAGAATTGAAGATTAGTACTGTTACTCCAACTGAAAAAGTGACTAATACAAATAAATACTACCCGCTTTTGGCTCGTTTAGGGCTGTGTAAAAATTATAAATAATCGAGATAAGTTTCGGGAGTCAGGACTTTTTTTACGCAAATTCATTGATCTCCATACCTCCACATAAATGTAATTTCTCAATGGGCATGATAATTTGATAATCTTCGACTCTAAAGGGAGTTGATTGATACAATTTTCATTATTATCATTGTGTTTTTTGGTGTAGTTCCAATAAGTTGCTGTTTATACTGCTGAGATTATCAATGTCAGTTTTCTTATTCATACAATCAGAAGACTTATTGATTTCAACCATTTCATGGAAAAGGCGTTTAGAAATGTTTTTTCTGAATGTAAAACTTTGATATGGGAATCATTTGGTTTATGTCCTGTTTCAATAGAATGTTGCGCTAATGCACATGATTTGCTATTAAGCTTTATGTGAAGTTATTCTATCTTTAAGAATTCTAGATGTTCCAATATAATCCAAATTACAATTGTTACAAGGAATGTTATAAATCACATTTGACTTTTTTGTAGTATCCGTTTCATCTTTCAATTTGGTATTCAAATTCTCAATAGTTTTGATATTTTTTTGGCATATTTTGATATTTTGTTCATTATGAAAAAGTTTTATGATATTTGAAGATGAATTTCCAAGATTAGGTATAGATTTATAAGAATTTGTAGAATTCATCATCGGAATTTGTATTACTGCCAGTATTGAAAATTATTTTATTGAGAAATTTTCTGGGATAGAAATTTTCGATCAATATGTCTCTAAGAAGAGGGAAGGGTGTACTAATTTTTCTATTCTTTTTTTCAAACACAGTAATAAATTGATTTTAACTGATTTTTTATGAAATGAATAGCAATTGATATATCTTCTTGAAATAGTAGGTTTGATATATCAATCAGTGATCAAAGAATTATCAGTTTTACGGATAACTCTTGTATGAAGAGAAAGAAGGGTCTGATTATTTTCTATTTCCATAGTGAATTGCAATTATTTATCATATTTATTGACAACATCAAGAATTTCATGAGATTTGTCATGAGATTTGTCATAAATGACATCGTCAACGTATTTCTTTAAAAAAGGAATTTCAAAACTTAGTTTAGGAAGTATGTTTTCGAGAAGATCGTCCATTATGTATTGAGCTATAATACGAGAAATAGTAGCTCCCATTGGAGTACCAAGAATTTCTTTATAGTATTTATCTTCGAAAGGGAAATAACTTGAGTTGAAAATGAAATCAATTATTTCAATACATTTTTTTTGGGTTATTGAACATTTTTTATTTATATTATCCCATCTTTTGATAATACTTTTCTCCACTAGATTCATAGGTATATTGCTAAAAAGTGAAATCACATCTAGGCTGATCAGAATATAACCTGGAGGTAATGATTTTTCATATATAAAATTGGAAAAATCGAAAGAATCCTCAATATAGAATTTATTTTGATAATTATATGCATCAGTGAGAATTTTAGTTACCATTTGGGCAATTTTGCTATTTGGAGCGTCATTAGAAGAAATAATGGGTCTCAATTTCATATCAGGTTTTTGATTTTAGGAAGTCCATAATACTTGGGTGATATAGAATTATGAATCATATACAAATAGGAAATTAAGATAATTTTTATTATCATGAGGTTTCTGGAAAAAGTTAGTTACAATATTTGTTATTTTCGCTCTGAAAAGATTTTTTTTGCTATCACAAAACCCAGTTATCAGGTTTTCAATATCTGAAAGTAAATTTGGTATATTCACCTCNTCTAACTTGGCGTGCTCTTTTGGTCTTTGCTCTCATGAGCTCTTTCATTGTGAAGCTTAGACTTTGGTTTCGATATCATAACCATCTACCCACGATTCGTCACCAATTATGACCCTTTTATAGCATACGAAACTAAAAAATTAAAAATAAATATAGTTTAAAAAACTGAAATACACGTTTTTAAAGAACATCGAACTGAAAAGTTAGAAATATTTTTTTAATAAGCTTTAAACAATAACAAACGAAAAATACTAGTATTATTGTGAAAAAGTGTGGGCGCTTTGTGCCATTTTTGTTGTTGTCAAGCGCCTGTCGCTTTTTTCACAATAATACTAGTATTTTTTGTTCGTTATTGTTTTAAGCTTATTTAAAAAAGTATTTTGAACTTTTTAGTTTGATGTTTTTTAAAATCGTGTTTTTTAAACTATATTTATTTCAATTATATTGCTTCTCTCTGAACATTAACTACGATCCCGTGCTCAACCGACTATAATCTCTAATGGTATCTGACCTTTATTTTTGTGCAAATTGAATGAAAGGGTCGTCTAACCTGCTGTAATGAAAATCGTCCACGAGTTGGTCTTCTTGACTGAACCCTCCATTTATAATTATCACATTGATAACATTTCATAACTTAGCTTGATTGATTATTTGGTGTCTGTTCATACCTTTATTTGTATATCTATTTTTGAAATGTTCCATTTGTTTACAGTTTTCAACTATACATTGAATGTGATTGTATATGTTGTGATTGTAATGAACATGTTTTACACCTGGGAATAGGTTTTTAGTGTCGATGAATGAAATTCACCAACAAAAAAGTTTTCTTCCATATCCAGCAACTTTGTTTGAATGAGGTATGTTTTTATTGAAATTCCAGAATATTACTGAAAAGTTTTTTGTTTGTTATTGAGCTTTTCTTTTTTGACTTCTGTCGAAGACGGAGCCACTTCTGTCTCCAAAACGTTAGGAAAAGTATCATATAAAATTATTAGCTCTTTTCGATAGACAAAATTAATATACAAATCATTAGTAAACGGAATACTTCCTTTTCGGAAAAATATATTAATTTTATGCAGTATCTTATAGGGATGAACTAGAAGTTTGTCGGTTACACACCTTTATAAAGTTCTTCATTACAAATTTTTTAATTTTCAAATTGTAGAAGATAAAAAGTCCCTGAAAAATCAATTAATCTAGAATTATCATGGGAGCACATTTTTCCTGCAGTTCTGCTAACGGCAATGATTCTATTTATTATAGCCNGGGCTATAAGTGTATATTGGGATAGCATTCTTATTGGTTCATATGTAGGATTGTATATGATTATTATGGTATTTGGCTATACTTGAATGGTTTTCTTTTAGCAAAACAATGGAAAATATAACTCGAAATGTAAATACCTAGTGTGTACGTTTAAATTTAAAACAAAACAAATATATTAATACTATCGAAGGAGCTGCTAATTACTATATATAAGATTATACTTTGTGAATGTAGATTAGGATTACCTATTTCAAATAAAGATTATTATTATTTGTCAATTGTAAAACAATCCCTCTTGATTTTTGTATCTTTTCAATTAGTTCACTGATACAATTTTCCAGCCTTATAGAGATATAGATCTAAACAGAAGGATTTTTCTGGTAAAGTCATAATCTCAAACAAAGATTTGAGTTTTTTCCTTTGCCTAATGTGAACATACAGAAATTAAGTTAGCACGTGCCTTAGCGATTTTTTCAGAGTTAACTTCGTCAGTCAGACATTTTTGTTGAAGCCCATTCAGAATATGTTCCCTACCTAAGACATTATGTCACACTTGTGACATAATTATTTACAGTTATCATGTTGCACTTTCCAAGAAAATAATAACGTTGCTGAAACTTCAACTGAAACTTGAAAGTTTCAGCAAAGATTAAGTTCATTTATTGAAGTTACATGCAAACAAGAACCAAATAAATTGAAAAAATGAATATATTTATATCAAACACATTTAACATGTTAGAAATAGATGGCTCTATAAATATACTGAAATCTTTTCTTTTTGGTGTTGACAAAATTTCCGATAGCTAAATTATTGTACTTTAAATTTTTTTTATTTTTTCAATTAATCAATTTTACTTCTATAAATAAAAAATAAATGTTGATTTAGCTACTGACAGGATTGTGCCATTTTCCTGTACGTAACAAATTTGCTTCCTATAAGATAAATATATGTTTTTTTAAAAGCTCCAATTATAACCGATTTTTAATTTTTATTTTTTTTTCCAGTAAACAATCATACCACAAGTGCAACAGTGACTGAAGCTCCCCAGAAAGATGACGACATTTTAGAAAATATTTCAAATTCACAAAGAGATGTGAAAGGTCGATCAACCCGATCGTTGTCTTCACGAAAAATCGAAACTAAGCCAAAAGAAGCCATGGTCAATGGAACAACTGTATAAAATTTAATCCAGGCCAAACCATTTTCTTTATGCGCTCGATAACTACGTAATCAGAACTTTTTTGTTTTGTTACTGTTAATGTGTTTGTTGCAATTAATTTCATTATTATAATGTAATTTATTAATCAGCGGGTTGTCTGCTACCCCATCTTGGATGAAACCAGATTACTTGGTTCTGTGAACCCAGACATCTCATTTTAGAGAGACTGCCCAGTGTTATTGTTGTTCAATACAATAAATCAAGCTTAGTGCGATAGACAATACTTGCATAACTGGAATATTCGTGACAACTTTTCCAATTTTCATACATGTATATTACTTATCAGCGCACATGAAACGATTTTGAAATTACAATTTTAAAGTTTGCTTGTAGTTAAAATTTGATTTTTTCTCCAACACATTTCATTAACTTTTCATTTCATACATTCATAAATCTGTAAGATTGTTACAGATTATTTTCATCTCATTTTTTATATAGACAAAACATTGTAAATATACCCATCTTATTTGTTTTTGTATATTTCTTTCGAGTGCTCATTTTGTGTTGAAATCACTAATATATTTATACATCAAATACAATTACTATCAATAAATTGGCCTGACACAAATAACAGATGATGATTTTCTGTTTAACCTTGTAATTAGTGTGTATGTGATGGAATCGGCCGATATTTGATGAAAACCTTTAACATATTCAAGAAACACTTTATTGTGAGATTTTCACTAAACTGTGTGTGTTCTGCTATACACGCCTGACGCGCCTGAAGAAGATATGGTATAGCGAAATACGTGTTGCATTTTTGTAAAACTGTTTGGTGAAAATCTCACAATAAAGTGTTTTTTGAATAAATTAGTGTGTAAGTAAAAGCGAAAACTGGAACCTCTGGCGTAGAACAAATCCAAAAACAAACACTTTTCTGAGTCACCAGAAATTCAATACACCTAACAAAACGAAAAGTTTTCTTCATCCCCTGAAAACGCCAACTGGCTGATGAAACGCGTGTCGAAAAAGAGTATTGAATTACTGGTGATTGTAAAAAGTGCTTGTTTTTGGATAGTGTAATTGTCATGCATATATAAATTAATAATTTCAGTAATTACCAGAATACCTTCGAAAAAATATAAATTACAATATTGAAATATAGAAACGTTAACAATCCTTTCTACTATACGGTATACTTCTTAAATTGTATGCATGATCGTCACCTTCATGACGTTCGTTATTGAATGTCATACATATATTTTTTTTTTCATAATAGACATATTTGGTAAAACATTGAACTTTATGAATGTCTCATATTGAATAATTTTCCTCAAGTTGACAAAATGGTTTAGACTTTCACGGCTGAGGTTTTCAGTGTTATTGCTTTTCGAGTTTGAAAGCCGTGGATTTTTGGAATTTCTTCCTGACGTTTCGCTGGCGCGAGTGGCTAGCTTCTTCAGAGGTTTAACCATCATGGCTTGCTGTCCATGATTACCTTTAAGGCTTCGTAAAGCGTATTTATTCCTTGTCAGGTACTCAGTTGTATTTGTACCTGTATTTGTACCTGCATTTGTACCTGTATTCATACCTGCACTTGAACCTACGCATCAACAATCTTGCTGCCTGTTGTCCTGCTCGTTATTCTCGAATTCCTTGAAATGGGGTTCCATAGTTGATTGAGGTTCACCGCTTCTTCTTTTCTGTTAAAATTATCCGTGTGTTTGTGGATCTCTATTGCCTCCCGTACCTGTCAGCTATGGTATCTCTGGTTGGTGGCAATTAATTCTGTGTTCTCAAACAAAATTCTGTGGTCCCCTTCACTCAGTGCGTGTTCTGCTACAGCCGACTTGTCTGTTTGGCCTAGTCTGCAGTTCCTTTTATGCTCTTTTAGTCTTGTTCCTATGGATCGTTTGGTGGTTCCGATATATACCTTTCCACAAGTGCCCTTTATCAGCAGCAGACCCCTGCTGCTGATAATGGGTCTCTTTTGTCTTTACCCGACCTGAGGCTTTGTTGTATCTTCCTCGTGGGTTTGAAGACTGTTTCGATGTCGTGTTTGCCCAATAATTTTCCAATTCTATCCGTGACCCTAGCGACAAAAGGTAGATATGCGCGTGCAACCATCTGATCCTTTTTCGCTTTCTGAACCGTGGTGCCCTTCGGCCTCATGGCTCTTCTGGTCTCGGAGGCACTGTATCCATTTGATCTCAAGGTCACTTAAGGTATTTCAGTTCCCTCTCCACATGCTCTGTTTCACATATTCTCCAAGCCCGTTCCGTTAGAGTGGAGATAACTCCTCTCTTTTGGCTAGGATGGTGGTTCGATAGTGCGTGCAAGTATCTATCTGTGTGTGTATATAGGAGGTCGTGCCTTGCTCAGGATGATTGCTGTTACAATCCTGATTTCTTCTGCTTCTTCATCCGGTAGATTCCTGATTGCCGCTTCTGTACCAGCGATAATTTCCTCGTTAATTTCCTCCTAAATGCAACATCCCTAAAAGAGAGATTGCAGCCTTAAAGAGCTTGAACTCTAATGAGAGCATCACGATACTTCAAGCAGACAAAGGAAATGCCACGGTGATTCTGAAAACGGAAGAATATAACAACAAAATTGAAGAACTTCTAGACCTGGCAAACAATCGCAAACTTCAACGGGACCCAACGTAATCTAAGTTAAGGAACGTGAACAAAATCATAAGATCTTCCTTACTGTCGGAAACCACACAAAAAGCCATTCTTAGAACTGAAGCTGTTCCACCTAGGCTCTACGGGCTTCCGAAAATACACAAAGCCAACATGCCACTGAGACCGATACTCAGTACCCCGGGCTCTCCGACCTACCACTTGGCGAGACATCTGGCCTCGCTCCTACAACCCCATGTGGGAAAGACCTCCTACATCAAGGACTCGACAGACTTTGTTGGTAAAATTAGGGGCTTAACGCTGGAGCTGACGGATATTCTGGTCAGCTTCGATGTGTGTCTCTGTTTACCAATGTCCCACTGGAAGACTCTCTGAGGGGGTTAGCCCACGTTTTCCCGAATGATATCGTCGAACTCTTTAGAGCATGTCTCAGAGGAACTTATTTTCAATGGGGGGGAAACTTCTATGAGCAACTAGATGGCGTTGCGATGGGGAGTCCACGTAGCCTAGTGATAGCTAATTATTTCATAGAACGGTTTGAAGGGAAGGCGATAGACACTTTTGAATTGAAGCCGACCTTATGGCTACGTTACGTGGATGACAGCTTCGTCATCTGGAAACATGGAAGAGACACCCTGAACCGTTTCTTAAACCACTTGAACGCCCAACACCCGAGCATATAATTCACCATGGAGATTGAGCAAGACCAACGGATAGCTTTCCTAGATGTACTAGTAGAACAATGCTCGGAGAATATGTGAAGCAGAAGATCTGGAGAGGGAACTGAAATACCTGGAAGTGACCTTGAGATCGAATGGATACAGTGCCTCCGAGACCAGAAGAGCCATGAGACCGACGGGCACCACGGTTCAGAAAGCAAAAAAGGATCAGATGGTTGCACGCGCATATCTACCGTTTGTCCTTAGGGTCACGGATAGAATTGGAAAACTATTGGGCAAACACGACATCGAAACAGTCTTCAAACTCACGAGGAAGATACAACAAAGCCTCAGGTCGGCTAAAGACAAAAGAGACCCATTATCAGCAGCAGGGGTCTGCTGCTGATAAAGGGCACTTGTGGAAAGGTATATATCGGAACCACCAAACGATCCATAGGAACAAGACTAAAAGAGCATAAAAGGAACTGCAGACTAGGCCAAACAGACAAGTCGGCTGTAGCAGAACACGCACTGAGTGAAGGGGACCACAGAATTTTGTTTGAGAACACAGAATTAATTGCCACCAACCAGAGATACCATAGCTGACAGGTACGGGAGGCAATAGAGATCCACAAACACACGGATAATTTTAACAGAAAAGAAGAAGCGGTGAATCTCAATCAAATATGGAACCCCATTTTGAGGAATTCGAGAATAACGAACAGAACAACAGGCAGCAAGATTGTTAATGTTCCAGATTCAAGTGCAGGTACGAATACAGGTTCAAATGCAGGTACAAATGCAACTGAGTACCTAACAAGGCATAAATACCCTTTACGAAGCCTAAAAGGTAGTCATCGGACAGCAAGCCATGATGGTTAAACCTCTGAAGAAGGTAGCCACTCGCGCCAGCGAAACATCAGGAAAAAATTCCAAAAATCCACGGCTTTCAAACTCGAAAAGCAATAACACTGATTTCGTCATGTTGATGAAAATGCTTTTTTTCTCAATCAAATAATAAGTACAACACATACTTTTTTTAGCTGTAGTTTGCGCTGGTCAGGCCCTATCCCCCGAAGCCCCGTTACATTCGGGAGGGCGCGCCAGAATTATCAACCAACGACCACTCCCCACACGACACACCGTGGGGTAAGTGGTCATTGGGTCCAAGAATCATGTGCCCTGAGCAAGCGCAGTGAGCCAAGAATGACAGCCTTTTGCATCCACCCGTCAAAGATTTCTGTCTTAGTGCGGGAAGCCGGTGTGATTTTAAGATTCGAGAGTAGAGAGGATATCATTCCACCAAGGACTCCAATAATCAGAACAACCATCTTGACAAAGTGATCTGAATAGAATCTGCGGAGTTCGAAGAGAAAATCTCGATATTTTATTCGTTTTTCCTCTCCTTTTTAAACGATATTCGTCTCGCCAAGAGCTGAAAACTCCACGACAAATATCGTCTTGCTCTGGTGGTCGAGAAGGACTACATCAGGCTTATTAGCTTGTATGAGCCTGAGGGTAGAGAAAGAATAGGTCCAGTAAATTCGGCACTTCTCGTTCCCCACAACGAATTCAATATCCCCCGGAGCGTAGGGCAACACCGGTGTCTCGTCAATACCGTAAGAGTGCCGTAGATGGTAATTAGCACTCATATGCTGGACACGCTGATAACAGGTACATTAGGGTCTCGGGCGCCTTGCTGCAGGCCTTGCACCTTGTGTCAGGAACCTTTATACCCATCACGCGACTGCGGTAGAATAAGGTCTTGAAGACAACATCCTGGCAAGCCATGATGAACCCCTCAGTTTCCAACTTCAGCCCACTCGACCTGAGGAAAGCGAAAGTCAGGCACTTCAATAAGCCAAGGTCTCCAATGTTATTGAAAAAACCCCATGCATTGGCTTATCCTTGTGTTTCCGCAGAAGTGAGGTGATATCTGCGACTTTTTTATGAGCTTTTTGGTGAACGGGTTCCAACTTTGTGACATAGTTGTGGTCACCTCGTTCAGTATCGAAAACTAAGTCGAGTTCATCAGCTGCTCAGGCAGCAGCCCTAAAAAGAAATGCTCCAATTTCTGCTCGTTCATGGTCACGGACCATGCAGAGAAGGGGATCCGAACTTCTGGCGACTTTACAGGCTATATCCAATACCATTCTGTCGTGTAGACACTCCAGACTCAAAAGTCCACGGCCTGCCTGTTGTCGGGGGAAGTACAACTGTTGAACGGACGATTTGGGATGCAAACTCCTATAGAGATGCATCATTTTTCGGGTATTTACGTCGAGTTGATACATCTCCTCCCGAGTCCACTTCACTACTCTAAACGAGT